ATATATATATATGTCCATGTTATTAATATTCAACACACACTCTCGTCCCGCTCTTACTCTGGCTCTCGCTTGCATGCTTGCCTTTCGGCACAACTCTTCTATGCTTGTTTAACGCATCTGTACATTTGGATATATATGTGTGGTCCCGTAATAAACGTAATCAACGCTTCGTATCCGCCTTCTGATTAATATACCGTTGGGGCGTTATATAGAACGGTTAACAAGACGAACTGTATACGAAGTTTAAGGATTATATTGAATGCCGACCACCACAGACCTTCAAGTGGAGTGCTAAGTGGTGCTTTTATTTTGTCACATCTTATTCAGACGTGCATGCAATTGCTTAGGTCTTTAGGTACATATATGGCGCGCGATTGTTCACAAGTATTATTTGGTTTAAGTTTGGACATATAATCCCGCGGTCGATCTACGTAATTTTCTAAATTAAGTTTTTGACTGTTAGTATCAGGGTTAATAAATTCACCTGGTAGTCTCAGAGTTGTTCCGAAAACCAGTTCCGCAGCTGAACAATGCGTGTCAGTTTTGACAGATCTTCATATTCCCAACATAACTAACTGTAGGAATTCTATCCACTGATTGGGGTTTGAGTGAGCTGACGGTGAAAACGTTCTACCAGCCCATTAGCCTGAGGATGATATGCAGTGCAGCGTATCCTTTTGGAGTCTAGAAGTTTGGCCAAGTTATTAAGTAGTTCGGATTCAAATTGCGCTCCTCTATCCGTCGTTATTGTTATGGGCGTATCAAAAATGATTATCCAGTTCTGCATGAAAACCTTGGCTACTGTTTCCGCTGTGATGTCCGCTTTGTGGATGGCTATAGGGAATCTGGTAAATCGTTCGAACGTGGTAAAGGGCCTACTAAGTCGATATGCACATGGGCAAAACGTGCAACTGGTTGCGAGAAAACACATATGGGTGAATTTGTGTGACGATTAACCTTCGATTGTTCGCATGCTGAACACTCGTTAACCCACTTATGTACATCCTTCTGTTAATTCGGCCATATATATCTGGCATTGATTATTTTAGTTGAAGCTTTTGCACCAGGATGAGACAAAGAATGAAAGTTATTATATATCAACTTTCGCATATTTTTGGGAACGAAAGGTCGCGGCATTGCCTTAGTCGTGTCACAGAAAATTAGAATACCATCGATAGGTGATGGGAACTGTTTTAAGTTAAGACTTGAATTGTTTGTTTTAAGTGGGTTTTGTAATTCTAGATCCTGTTCTTGTTCGTGTCTCAACGTCTCGAAGTTTACTGTAGACTGCTGTAGCACGTTCGTTCCTAGTCTAGATAAAGCATCTGCTGCCAGATTGTCCTGACCTTTGACATGTCGGGTATCACTTGTGAGCTGTGATATATAGTCAAGGTGTTGGACCTCTCGAGGTGAGTATTTATTGGCTCTCGCTTTTAATGCATTCATTAGTGGTTTGTGATCCGTAAAGACTATAAATTCCCTGCCTTCTAACATGTGTCGTAAGTGTTTAATGATCAGGTAGATTGCAAGAAGTTCTCACCCGAAGATAGAATACCTTATCTCTGCTAGAGTGAGTCTTTTCGAGGAGAAAGCAATTAGTTTTCAGTTGGTTAAGGGTACCACCTACTGGTTTATCTGAAGCATCCACCACCAAAGCAAGTGGGGAAAGCGAATTCGGATACATCAACGTAGTTGCCTGAGCCAGTTTATCTTTAATCTGTTTAATAGCTTCGACGGCGTTAGAAAACAGTTTGAATTCTTTTGGTTTTCCTTTATATGAATCTGTCAAAAGTTGCATTAATTGTGCTCAACCGGGTATGGATCTACGATAAAAGTTAATTAGACCTAGAAAAATTTCTCAGTTGTGTTAGAGAACTAGATATGGGGCATTGTTTGATGGTGTCCACTTCTTCTTTGATCGTTGTAATCCCTTCTGGGCTTATTGTGTGACAGAGAAATTCTAGAGTTCGAACACCGAAAACATTCCATATTCATCCAATCTTTTTAACACTGCTCGTACATGCTGTTCGTGTGATTTTAAATCGGGGCTGACAATTAACAAATCGTCTATATACCCTCGCGCAAATGGCATATCTCGAAGTAGGTTATCCATGAATCTGAAATGTTTGTGCCGCATTTCTCAGGCCGAATGGCATGCGTACAAACTCGAACAAGCCAAAAGGTGTAGTACCAGCTGTCTTGGGGATATCTTCATCAGCCACCGGGATATTGTGATATGCCCTAAGTCAATTTTAGTAGATATGTTCATACCCTGTAAACCGTTTGTGAAATCTTGGATATGCGGTATTGGGTACCTATTTGGTACGGTTTGACGTTTGAGGGCTCTGCGATCCCCGCACGGTCGCCAATCGTCTTCATTCGGACCATATGCAAAGAGGATGCCCATTGACTATCAGAGGGACAGATAGTACCCAGTTGTAGTATATAGTCGAATTTGGCCCTGGCGACTTTGAGCTTATCTGGTGCTAGTCTCCTGGGTTTTACGAACACGGGTGCACCTTCGGTTTTGATAGTATGACTTACCTTTAGTTTTTCTTTAGAAGGCTGTGGGTTTAGTGTAGTTAAGTTTGGAAATTCCGCGAGTATATCTTGGAATTTCTCTGTTGTTACTGCAGGAGTTTGAATCAAGTTGAGATGTGATGTGACTTTCTTTGCCTTTTGTGTAATTCAAAGTTTCTTTCAGTGTTGAGCGCCGTTTCTTAGTGTCAACTAGAAATTCGTATATCTCTAGAAAGTCCATCCCCAGTATTGCCAGATCTAAATCGACTACAGTGAAAACCCAGGGGAATTGCCTCCTGAATCTCAAATCTAGTGTTAAAGTTTTCTGCCCAAATGTCGCGATTTTAGTTTTATTGGCAGCTTGAAGTGTAATTGGAGATATTTCTCGACTCAGCTCAGTTTTATTTTGAGGGATGATACTAAGAGCAGCGCCAGTATCTACCAAGAAATTCAAGCAACTGTTTAGGCGCCCCTCCTCAGTCGTCGCGACCTGGGGAGAGGTTACTCGTTTCCCGCTTTCTTGGAATTTTGCTTAGGCACGGCGCATGGTTGCATGGACTTGGTTGAGTTGACACCAAATTTCCAGTGATACCAACAGGACTGCGCAGATCGTCTGGACATTTTTGACCTGTCTTGTGACTTGGATCTTGGTCGTTGTGGTGACCTACTCCTGTTTCTATGACCCATTTGATTCTGGCGACAGCCAGACTTGAGAGAATTTTAACGCTCCCAATGAGTACTTCTGTGACTGGGTCTTTTGCTGGTTCTTCTTTTTGTGTGTGATTTATCGTGCGTTATCCAGTTGGAGGACCTCTCCATTATTTTATCGGCTATACGTGCTAAATGAGATATGGATGTTCCAGGATTTTGTGCATCGAAACAGTGTTGGATGTAGCATGGGAGAGCTTGTATCCATCCTTGTTTTAGGACTGCTTCACCCACTAAGACTTGGAGGTCACGTAAAAACTGTGACGGAGACCTATCACTTAGTGTTTCTCCTTGGAAAAGCCTTTGGATTCTTTGACTGTCTGATAATAATAAACGGTTCATTATCTCTCGTCTTAAGATGGTGTATGGTTGTGGCGATGATGGACTTAAAATTAAGTCACGGACTTCTTTGCGACTGAATGAGGAAGGATAGAACACAGGTCTCTATAGCGAATTCCTTCAGATTTGATATTGTGCCTCGTGAAATAATGCTCTAGTTGAGCAAACTCAGGATCACTAGGATCAAATTCTGGAAGTCGGGATTTCGTAGTCATAACAGTGTCTATCTCCACTGGTGACAAATCCTCCAGGTTTTGGGTTTGTATTGAGTCTGACATGAGGTATGTGACCAATATAGTACCGAAATTAGCACGAAAAATGGTTACTACAACACGAATAGCTTTAGTTAAAAAAATAAACTATGTATACACCCAACTTGGTTTACGGATAACCAGAGGGTCTATGTTTGCGACTAAGTAAAGAAAATAATATTAATAACAAAAATGAGATTAAATTAGTGTTTAATAGGGCTCACCAGTTTCGTGACTCTGGGTAACCCTCGTGCTATTGATAGAAGAAACCAGAAAAGTCGTGAATAAGTCTTTATTTGGATCTTCGCTCAGTCACAGTCGAGCGTGGGATTATTTGTTTAGACAAACGAAGCCTCTCAACATTCAGTATAGGATAATAGGAAATATAACGCCTATACAGAATAAGGTGAGTGAATACTTGAACTATACTGTATTGACATATGCTTAGTTGTTTGAGGTGAACCCTTAACCAACCAACCTAAGTTGTTACAGCCTCCTAATTGAGATATATAATATCCAATCAGCTGTGTACTCTCGAACAACCTCACCAAACAGAATATCATTTATCCTTAGGACGTTTGATTTCCTTCTGAGGCTTATGGATTACAGCGAGGTGTTCGAACAGGGGGATATCATTGGTTTCAGTCTTACTTGATTGCACATTACAGTGCCCAATAACCTTACATGCATCTATAAAACTGCCGTTGTTCCATATTCCTATGATCCTAGCAACAAACTACTTGTGACTATGATAACATAAAGTATCCGAGCAAACAACCTGTTTTTACGGGTATGAGACCATCATGATTTACAATTTTTATGCAAATTTTGTTAATGACTCACTTCCCGATAAACCTGTTGTTATTTTTGTAATTATGCCTTTATCCTCAGATTTAGTTGGCTATTAGATACCTAGAGCACGAACCGAGCTAACTTGAACTGAAAACAAATTTGATAAGTGAATTCATTCATCTAGAAAAAACTATTCATAAATAACGGAGCAAACAGGTAACTTTTTTAGTCACTAGTTTCACAGAAAATTTACAGACTATAAGTTGAAAATAAGAACACAGAAAAGTGTAGCCGAACTGATTGGTAAACTGCAGATTTGCCAGCTGTAAAAATGTGAAACAAACTATTTATCTTATTTTACTTGAAGGTCGAATGATAACAAACAGAAAATCAAAGAGATACTTGGGGAAAATAGGCAGAAGCCAGTGATTGTTGATGATAGTTTTGATCATTAGTATAATCGACGGTTTCTACGCACTTGGTTGATGATATCTTTTGATCAAAAATATTTCGTGATTTGCCATTGCGATCGGCAAATTCTGTGGTCAATGTGTCAGGTATTTCGGGTGGGATACAAGAACCGGAATAGGGATCTATAAATGAAAACAAAACGAAAACCTTTACAAAATACTTCCCAATTGTAGTTTGAATCCAAACCAATTAAGCTAAAGTGTAGGGGTATGTAGAGGAAACGAATAATCTTTATAAACTCACTCTACATCTTACTTATTCATCGGATAAGGAATTGTAAATGATTGCCAACCGTTGTTGCTACCTTGACGTGGTGGTCGGACTTGCCTATCGTGATGAAGCAACCGAGCCATACTGGCTGGAACAACCGTTCCTCAAGGTCTTACCATGTCAGACAGGTCGGTTGAAGAGCGGTAAGACTAAAAGTAACAAACCCAAGGTCCGAAGGCGAAGTCGTACTGCTGACTGTACAGAGGTGTGACAGCAGTAAGATGTTTCCTTCAGACAACCAGCATGACAGCGATGCTGCCTTCCCACAAGGAGGGGTGGGGTTAGAAAAGGTCGACTGTAAAAATGCACACCTCGCATTATCCGACGGATATCCGTCTCCGGCGGTAAGGTCTCAACAAGTACGGAGCTAACACAAAAATTACCCATAAAAACGTCGTGTGTGACCGACCTCAAGCAGTTGTCACTTGGGCACTGCGGTCACACTCCCAGGTCACTATGACCACCTCTAATCCAATTTCATTTTCAGGTACCTCCAGAACAATCCTTCCACGGTGTGGGCAACCGGGAAGTGATAACCGCCATCATCCTTCTAGCAGCACTCAAGACCACTGTATTCATAATCAACCTCCATCTTCAATTCCTATTATTCCTCCTACATCGACTTTCACTTCTAAACTTCCTCTTTCGGCTTCCTCCTCAAATGTCACCATAGCCAACGATTCTAGTGCTCAAAACACTGTCCCAGGTCTATTGAAACCTCGCTCCAAACTACACATTGGAACCTTCAACGTACGCACCCTATGTCAAATCGGTCAACAGGCTTACTTGGCTAGAACCCTAGAATCTCGTACCACTAACGTATGCTGTGTCTCTGAAACACTCATACAGGATCCCAGTGTGGTTACTCACTTGACCACACCTCGACAAAACGGAAAGCCCACGAGATACACCCTCCGTGTATCTGGTGACCCGATGGCCAGCTCTCGTAGACTGGCCGGTGTGGGCATAGCACTAAGTATGAGGGCAGAACAAGCACTGTTAGAGTGGATCCCCGTTAACAGTCGTTTATGTGCTGTTCGGCTAAACGGCCCCGTAAGAACTCGGAAGGAATGGGACACACGTCGTTGCCTTTTTGTCGTTTCTGCCTAGTCTCCCACCGACTGCAGCTCAAATGAAGTGAAAGATGAATTTTACAGAAAGCTATCTGAAACGAGGAAGGGCAGCTGATCCAGATGGATTGGCTCCAGAGGTCTTTAAGGATGGTGGTTCAATTTAAGCGATTAGGTTGACTAATATTTTAGCTAAGATCTGGCAGTTAGACGTTATTCCGTCTGACTGATCACAATCACTTATCGTCTCAATATATGAGAGAGGGTTAAAATCATCCTGTGACAACCATAGAGGGATGAGTTTAACTAATATAATATCTAAAATACTAGCCTCGATAATTATCGGACGCCTAACTAAGACTCGTGAACTGCAAACACGAGAGAACCAAGCTGGCTTCAGACCTGGTCGTGGCTGCATAGACCACGTATTCACCATTCGTCAGGTTCTAGAACACAAGCATACTTATCGGCGTCCGACAATGGTGGTCTTTCTTGACTTAAAGGCATCATTTGACTCCGTATACCGCGAGATTCTGTGGCAGTGTCTGTCATTGAAAGGCGTACCTCAGAAGTACATAAACCTTGTGAGGGCTCTTTACTCGAATACTAATAGTCGAGTGAGAGCTTATGGCGAACTGTCATGTGCTTTTGCAAACTCAAGTGGTGTCCATCAAGGCTGTCCACCTTATCCATTTTTGTTTCACTACATCATAGACCTATTGATGGAAATAACACTCTCGTCTACTGAATTCTCGGGTATTGATCTCCTTCCAGGAGGTCCACTTATCGACTTAGAATACGAAGATGACATAGTCCTGTTTGGTGAAGACGCTGATAAAATGCAGAGCACTAAGCAACAATTGTACTATATCCTTATTGCAATCTTTCTTTTATATATTACCACCTCTGAATTAACTACTTTTATGAATCCGGTGTCCATCTTGTTGTGCTAATGAGGTATGGCAACTTGGACCTATGCATAAATGTGCCTGGTCCTACGTTGTAGCTGACTGACTAAGCAACAATGCCAGAATGTTTGGAATGCGTTTCTCTCCCTCTAAATGTACGTTGTTGCTTCAGGACAGGACTGAGTCAAAACCTGAACTAAGGATAGGGAGTGAAGTAGTCGAACGCGTTGACAACTTCACTTATCTTGGAAGTTTAATCAGTCTGAATGGGTTGGTGTCTGACGAAATCTCTGGCCGGATTCGAGCCCACTTACAATTGTTTCTTTATTTCCCAGAACATTGGAACGAAGAAACCAAAGTTCGATGGTGGTCATACGCTTGATTTTGTCTAACTATATCGATAGGGGTTCAAAAAAACATAACACCTTCCCTTAAAGAATTTTGAAGAGGTGGTGGCACGCTTTGAATAGAACAAATTCGAGACTGAATGTAAACATCACCATAAAAAGGATGCATTTGGTAACTGAGCACTGCAGTCACTCGTTCAGGTCGATGAAAACATCAATATTAAACTGATTTTTTTCCTGTAATTTTAGGGAGACGACTAACTTTACGTAATGTTGCCGTAAAGTGATATTCCCCTGGATACATTCAGTTGCACCCAATTTATTTGGAAGAAACACACTCGATAATACATATTTTAACCTTGATTGTTTTTACAGTTAACTGGCATTAAACCCATTGTATCCATAATTTAGGAACCTGTGCTGAAGACACAGTGAACACTAACTTTCGTAGTCACATTTTATTGAGAATATTCTACTAGATCATATAATACCTCTTTAAAATATATTAATATCACGAATTCAGTGCCCAACAATACTGTGATAAAAGATGTATGTTAAGTCTGAAAAGTTTCGTTTAAAAAATGAAAATGTAGTCTAGGTTCTCACATCTACTTGTTCCATAACATTACTCTAGGTACAGTGAGATTAGTAGCATTGCTATTTCGTACTTTAAAACATTGAGCTCGATGAATATTTTATTTCCTAAACGAACGATACAATAAATAAGAAACATGACGTAATCGAGTGAACAACTCACAATTAAGTGTATCTGTAACACGAAATAACTCACTATTTTCTTTAGGGATCACACAGCTCGAAGTGGATATTGGCAGGTGAGTAGTAAGTACTGTAGACGGGAGATTCTACGGTAAAAGCGAAAAAACAGTCACAACATTCAAGAAAGTATCGATTTCAAAGGGTAAGGCATTAAAGTACAAATCTGGTATGATCGTGATGAAAAAGGTTGTCAGATACAATTGTATTATTTAAACAAATGACAGAAATAATTCATGATAATTAGGTCTTAATTTCATAAACTCATTACTTGTACTACGAAATCCCTGTCTTCAAAATATCCGTGTTCTGAATAACCGTTATTCGAATTTCCCTTTGTATATAACTGTGTCAATTTTCTAGGACAAAAACAAGTTTGCTCACCGTTCGCGTCCCATCAATAATTCAACCAACCAAACTATACATCACTGGGCATTGTCTATCAAATATCATTCTGTCCATTCATTTTAACAATCCAAAATATATGAGCACTATGATTTTCAAAACTGTCCCATCAATTACTATAAAAATGTGACTAGTATTGGGTGGATGAAAGTTTCTGAACGGATTCAAAATGCCCGTTTGACTTCTGCCAAATTACGTCGCCTATAGCAAAGGCGAGATATCCATCTGTCAATTAACGGACGAGAATACTGTGCGGCAGTTCGATCTATTCTACTTTAAGGTTGCGAAACGTGGCCATTAGGAGTAAAAGATACTCGTAAGGTACTGGTATTTGATCACAAATGTGTTATAAATATTGCTCGCATCTGCTGGAATCATCGGGCAAGTGATAGTGAGGTTAGACTCAGGGTATTAAGTAATGATGGTAAATCAGTGGATGAGGTTGTAAGTCTTCATCGACTGAGATGGTTGGGCCACGTTTTACGTATGCCTGAACACCGCTTACCACGACGCGCAATGCTGACTAGTGTTGGAGATGCCTGGAATAAAGTTAGGGGCGGCCAACCCAAAATGTTACATCAGTCGTTGAAGTCACTAACTTCTAATAATAATCTAGGCCGAGAGCCACACGTGGTGTAGAACCGTCAAAAGGGAAGCAATAACATCATCATTTAATTCAGTAACAGATCATGGTCAGTAGAACAGAAGAATAGACGACGGAGAGCATTTATTTAGACATCAACAGTAGCGAATGTGCTAAAACAAAAAATTAATAGTGTCCGTTTCATAGTCGATACAAATAAACAATAGACATTGAATATAAATATAGCCTCACATAAAGTGTCACAAATAAAAATGTAAATGGTACTTGTCTCTATCGCTATAAATATTGCTGAACGTATATGTCACTATAATCCCCACATCATGTAAAAGCGATAGAGATACAGAGGATTAGAATTTTTAAAATAATAACTAAACTTGTTAATGCTAAATTTTAATAATCCAAACAAGATAGAATTGTTCGGTTATCAAGAGACCCTAATTATGAGCTCTACATGGATTAAATTCCAACAACCCTGAAACCTCTAAGCCTCGGCTTCTAACCCTTAATCAGTAAGGCCATAATTAATGTACGACTTTTGAGCAACCGCGAAGTAAAATTGAGGATACCCGCCTGGATCAGGAGTTTAAACTGACATCAGCTATGATGACATAATTGCTATTCAGCCACAATGATGCATCAATTTTGTGACAAAATCCAAGACTTGTTATATTAAATCCTTACCCCTTGATTAGTACGTAACCTCATTTGTTATTTATCATCAAATCCATTTTGGTGATGCAATTTTTTCTATCCTCCTGTAGACATACATTTTCCATATACCTATATATACGAATGTACAGCTTAAGTAAATGATTTCGTCGAAAAGAAAATTTTCTTCGCTGAATTCTCTTTTTCTTATTCAGTGACACTATGGGTTATTTTAATTATCTAAATCTGATTGGTTTGTCTATAAATTATATTCTAGTCCTAAAAACTCCCAGGCAATTTTTCTTAGTCCCAACACTTCCTACCCCTAGAACCACACCCCAAAACACCTGAACCCAGGCACACCAAATGATGAGCTTCGAATCTGTTCCTTGTTGGGACATTACATTTAACTTTCAAATTTTACATTTGATATTTATGTATTCATGGACTTTTTACACCATTTATAGATTTTATCTTCAGTATAATGGAAACGATACATGAAATGTTGGGGCTTAAGACTCTCCCATCGCCCATCTTTCAACTCATGACACTCTGTACTGATAATAACTAAATCTTGTTCTGCTACTCGCATGCACAATTCCTCAAAGTAGTTAAGAAACTGCTGCGCGATTTAAACTCGTATTTTCATTAGTGGTGTTTCAGAACTACAAGACAACATAAAAAGGCTGTCCAGAGATGCGTAGACCTTACCAACTGACATAGATTAGACCAGTTCTTCCACAATATAGAATTGTAACACAGCTCTGAAAATAAATGTTACTACGTATGAAGAAGGTTACTGGTCAACAGACAGTAGACAGAGGCATCTTCAGACAGTAATTGTATGTAGTTTACTGTAAGTGAGATTTTCAATGATTCTCCTTAGTTTGCTTATGGATTATGGAAGCTAATCAGATAGACACACTGTATACTCGGTGAATGTAGAGCAAATTTGAACGAATTTTGAACTCAAAGTATTTTCTGGAAATTATAATCATAGTGATTTGGTTGGTTTTGAATTTTCTTTGACTTCAAAATCCCATTAAATTTGCTATATCATTGTTTGAAGTTACTACGCTGTCACATGATATAGGATTTCCATTGTGATGCACTTTTTCTGAATTTGAGTTAGTAATTTGTGAGTAGTGCTCTCCTTCCGGTTTATTGACGGAGGACTTTGGAAATTTTAATGATGATTGTATCATCTGAACACATAGTGATTCCTACCAGTTGGTCAGTCAGCGACAACGTGGGACCAGGCACATATATGCATCACTCCAAGTTACCACACCTAATTAGCACAACAAGATGAACACCAAATCCATAGAAATAGTCACCTCAATGGTAGTAATGTATAAAAGAAAGATTGCGTATAAGGATATAATACAGGAAGAAAGAATTAGTTGGTAGGAAGAAAGGTATAAAGCAATTTCGAACGCACGGTTTAAGGAAAGACAAAGAGTGCACACACCTATGCCATTGTGATCGATTCTGAGCCATGTCACCCACAGTCTCCAACCATTGGTTACGATAGTCATGCGGATCTCAACCAAGTAGTCTGCATCTACCAACATGTCTGAGATAAGTTAGTGACTTCAACGACTGATGTAACATTTTGGGTTGGCCGCCCCTAACTTTATTCCAGGCATCTCCAACACTAGTCAGCATTGCGCGTCGTGGTAAGCGGTGTTCAGGCATACGTAAAACGTGGCCCAACCATCTCAGTCGATGAAGACTTACAACCTCATCCACTGATTTACCATCATTACTTAATACCCTGAGTCTAACCTCACTATCACTTGCCCGATGATTCCAGCAGATGCGAGCAATATTTATAACACATTTGTGATCAAATACCAGTACCTTACGAGTATCTTTTACTCTTAATGGCCACGTTTCGCAACCTTAAAGTAGAATAGATCGAACTGCCGCACAGTATTCTCGTCCGTTAATTGACAGATGAATATGTTGCTTCCACTATAGGTGGCGTAATTATATGTGAGAAAGCTAACTTGTCTGGACGAAGCGTTGGAATTATTTAAATTTCAATCGCTGAGATGATCTCAAATATAATTTTCACATATAATGATTTTTTTATACTCGGCGCCCGATTTCTGTCAAACTATTCCTTCTAATCTTGACGAATATTCGTATAGGTGAGGTAATTTGGGAAGTGCCAAACGAGCAGAGATCTCGATGGAGTTTTGTTCTCTGAGCTGGATGGTTTGGTCGTGGAGATTTCATCGACCTTCTGAACGACATCATCAGCACAAACTTCAGATAGAAGTGAAGTGTTCGAATTTCTCCATATGCGTTTCACAGCTTGTTCTGTACACCTCGACGCCGACTGGATGAAAGAACAAAGGAAGACAAATCATACATCATCTACAAAATAAATTGTTCCAATTGCGAAAAACATTACATCGGACAAAGCGAACGCCACCTTCACCTTCGCCTACATGAACATCAATTAGCAGTCAAACGCTATGATACTTCCTCACTTATATCAATACACGTGGACAACTGCGGACACATTCGATTGGAAAAATGTGGAAATCTTGGACATAGGAAATTCCAAAAACACCAGAGAATTTTTACAGTCGTGGCACTCAGGTCAATCAGCAATCAACAAGCATATTGAAATCAATCCAATTTATCAACTAATCAGAAAAATTATGCACAAATATAGGAACAAAAATCAAACCGATGGGAGACAACCAAAACAAAGAAGTAAACAATGACAAATTCAAGGTCAATAAGAAACAATCAACGTCGAGGTGTACAGAACAAACTGTGAAACGCATATGGAGAAATTCGAACACTTCACTTCTATCTGAAGTTTGTGCTGATGATGTCGTTCAGAAGAACGATGAAAGCTCCACGATCAAACCATCCAGCTCCATCAAAATCATCCACCTGAGCTACAAATCTTCTCCATCATCTCAAGAGCAGAGATTTCGTCAGGCATTAATCCATTACGGCTGATCAGACTCCAAGATAAGTGAAGCTGTCGATGCGTTCGACTAATTCACTCCCTATCCTTAGTTCAGGTGTTGACGCAGTCCTGTCCTGAAGCAACAACGTGCATTTAGAGGGAGAGAAACGCATTCCAAACATCCTGGCATTGTTACTCAGTGTCACCAAAAGACTCTGCATTTTGTCAGCGTCTTCACCAAACAGGACTATGTCATCTTCGTATTCTAAGTCGATAAGTGAAGCTCCTGGTAGGAGATCAACTCTTAAAAATTCAGTCGACGAGAACGTTTTTTCCAGCAGTAGGTCTATGATGAATTTAAACAGAAATGGAGATAGTGGACAACACTGACGGACACCACTTGAGATTACGAGGTCAGATGACAGTTCACGACAAGCTTGACTCAAATGGTAGTTTTTGAGCAAAGAGTCTTCACAAAGTTTATGTACTTCTGAGGTACACCCTTCAATGACACACTGCCACAGAACCTCGGTCTACAGAGTCAAATACTGCTTTTAAGTCAAGAAAAACTAGCATTGCAATAAATGAAGTACGGAAAAATATTAAATTTCGCAAACATTTTCAGAAGTGTGAATTTTTATACTGACAGTGGTGTTTGCAAGGTTTGTACGTACATAAATGATTGAGAATACAAGGAAATTTTCAATAAATAAACGCTTTCCCAATAAGAGATTTCGACCTAATTGTAAAAGAAGGAGTGAACACGAGTTATGTAACTTAGATACTCATCGAATGCATAAATCTCGACAAAGCTGAGCTGAGAGTTAACATGTTGGATTCCCTGAGTAAGTATATCTTTACGAGAAGAAATATACATTAATGTAATTACTCTTCTCAGTTGACAGTAAAATAATTCTTACCGTATTATTCATTGCAGAAGAAATAATTTTCACATATAAATTATTTTTCGAACTGTTGGGTGCTTCTAAGAGTCTTTTGTCAACTGTTTGCAAGATGTTGCTATTTGAAGATGAAGACACCATGACAGATGTATGTGTATCAAATAAAGGGACTACATGAGAAGCTTGTGAATTCTGCGTTAATGGGATGTATGAAGGAGTAGTTTCGAATGCTGAGGGTTTCTCACTTCCAGAAGAGACAACTGTAAGTGAATTAATAGTAGGAGGAGGACCAACTACTCCAGAAGACACACTTATTGCTGGGAACGCTGAAAGCTTCAAGCGATTTTGTACATAATCTGAATCATTCTCGGCAATCTGGCGATTCAACCAAGCGATAACTGCGAAACATTTAGTAAAATTAAAGAATAATCATGTTCTTGATAAAAATCCTTATAACGGTTAAACGAGACACCAACTTATTGTTTAATATTATTATTATTATTATTATTATTATTATTATTATTATTATTATTATTATTATTATTAAAAACCTTTGTTATGGTCCCAATAGTTTTCTTAGGTGACGAAGTCTTCTGTACATTATCATAAATGTTCAAAAACGTAGTTTGGTAAACTTTAAGACAAGCATAAACAAAGTAAAACTGTTCTTTTTATGGAAGGATTTTTGAGTAATGTGCGCATCTGTTGGCCACAAAAGATCCAATCAAGGTGTTCGTAACCAACCGCATATTAATTATATCTGTGAAAAAGGAACCGTCCCAAGTTTTGTAATAGTTATCTAAAGCTAGTGTTCTGTAATTTGGTTATACTTTCTTTAAATGACTTCATTTTACACTATATTCAACTGATTTTTAATAACCAATAACTCAGGCGTATCTGTAATGTCAAGAAATTCCACACAAATGGAACGTTTTACCATAATACGGTAAACAGGGAAAGAGTAGAAGTAGTCATACATATGATGGGAATCAAAAGAACAATAACAACGCTGGAAGAAAAAATAATAATATTCTAAAATTTCACATTGCAGATTTCTATTTATCAACAGAAATTATCAATATATCTAACAAAAGTACCTATTCAACGCGGGCTAATGCATGAAGAAATAAATTGTCTGCCACGATCTCTAGAAAAAAGACAATACATTTATAACGCGGTAGGTGTAAATCTAGTGATAATTACAGAGACACTGAATACGAGAATATTAAGAGTAACACTATAACTAACTAGTGTATTTAAAATGAATGGACAAAAGACGTGATATCAATATAGATTTACAAATAAGAGTGTTATTAGGTCCTTGTAAGCATATCATCTATCGATATAGATTGATAATTAACTTCTTACAGAATAGGAAACTAAAGCTCGAAATTCGCAGATTTTCGAAAATCGGGAAAAATTTCTATTTATAAAGTTTCTACCACTAACGTTTTGCTTGAGGTGCTATGGCTCGACCGTTGATATCTAGGCTACAGATTTGAACTCCCTCAAACCGACATAGATCTAGACAACCAAGTTGTGTTACTAGTCTTCATAACTAAAGCGAAATTTAAAAACACAGAACAAGAATCTATGATCAGTAAATGAATGGTTCACTTAAATTTAGGGTTGTGAATTACGAAAATAATGATTCAATTTTGTGGATTACCTATGTTATGGTGACCAAGACACTCAAAACCTTTTCAGTACAAGAAGTATCACTGGTACTCTAAATTTTCCGATGTATTTTGTCCTGATTAAGTGAAAGATATATCAGTGGAATTTTTTCACTGCTGTCCAAGATACCAACCAATGATTTTTGACAAATACGAAAGAGAATAATACACTGCGACGAAAAAATAGTGAAAATCAGATGAACATATCCGGCCTATTTGAATTAATACAAAATTATCTCAGTCTGGATATTTGTAGAGAACGCAGCATTTTCACAGTTGAACTCACGAGTCGATCTGAGCCAGATCACCATCGAAAACATGAAAGCACTGGACGACCGATCCGTCCTAGTACGGGTCTTATCAGCAATGTGCATCCAAGATCCCGCACGCGGGACTCGAATCTAGGCTCTTCAGTCGTGCGCGCGAACGCTGAAGCTCTAAACCGCCAAGCCGGCATTCAACTTCAATCAACCCATGATCTTGCGCAACCTTCATCCATTGCCTGAGGTGGATAACTGTCTCACACCTGACACAGATTGGAATCCACTGGTCACGGCTTCTTACTGAAACTCCAAGTTACATCATTAAGCTAGTCACTAGTGAGCACATGATTGTTATAAGTAGGAGCATTTGCGGAGACTAGTATCTTCACAGTTGAAATCATGAGTCGATCTAAATTAATTACACAAAATTAAGTATTAATGATCAATATCATGATATCTGGTTGTTATGATAGAAGGCTAGCATTTGAATAGTATTCAACAATCGGCCATTCATAGTGAATTAGAACAACTAACTAGCAATGTATAAAAAACTATCCAGATCAATCCGAATTACGATTGAATATTTGTGAAAAGAAAAGTTAAATGAACAATTCACGCTGTTCATCTTTAATTCACACTAATTTGTAGTCATAATATCTAGTCAATCATCTGAATTCTTGAATTTGTATAGGCTACATTTCCTGTTGTCATTGTGAAATGTAGATACAACAAATTTTTTGCATCATAAAATATTAAGACCCATCCTCAAGTTCTCATTGCACCGATTCGTTTTTGGATAATAGATTTCATTGAATTAATACTCAATCTACTAAACGTATGACCTAACATAATAGTTTGGATAAAAAAAGAGATTAAACAAAAATAAAACCACTAGATCACGCTACTTAAATTTCCAACAAAATAATAATTTTAGAATCCAATGCAAGATGTAAATGATACTTGCTAAAAAACCATCACACACACCACTGATTTCAAAATTATTATTTTGATACTTTTCATATTTTACAGAAATCCGTTGTGATTTCGCAATAAGTGACATGCATAGATGGCCGTCGAGCGTTTAGACAGACCTGCTCAAAATTTTAAAATGTAGGTGCACTACTTCGATAATTTCTCACTAAGAGGTGATAGCAGATACTATCTTTAATAAAGATGAATATCAGGAAAGATAGTTTTACACCATGAAATCGGTCAAATAAGCATAAAACTAAAAATGAAGAATTTCAACGCGAGCTGTGGTATACATACATATGAATACATTGTGTACGATAAAATATTCATTGTTCTTTCGTCATATAAAAATGAATCGTAGTCAGTTTTCCATAACTTACTTATTTCATTGGACTTGATTGTTTTTTGAGCATCTGTTAAACTTTGCAAGGTTTGATCATGCTCTTCAACAATCTGAGTGTTGAGCTTTTTGACATTCGTGATTTCCGATCTTAATTTGTCTAGTTCGGTATGCAGTCTCTGAATTTCAGAGTCTTTGGAAACTAGTAAACGCTCCTGTTCCGCTGCTACTTGACCACGTAATTTAGCCTAAGACAAATGAATATCTAAATGTTTACATTATTATTTAAATGTAACGTTGTATAGAATAAAACATCCCAGTTGTAAATAATTGTATGATTTACTGTACCGAACGGTAATATAATGGAACCGATACAAACAACTAAAATGGAAGCTCAACGAATAAAAAACTGACTTGTCTGAAATGCTATGATTCGACTGAAGTTTAACGGTGCTAAAGTTTAGATCTAGATTCAAGGATTTTATTATCAAAGCAATCGGTTCTGCTCAGTCATAATGTATGAGTAGAGAGCACGGAAGTTATCCATCAATGATAATGACAACATAATCTAAACTCATTGGATGAAAATCTACTGGAAGTAATTACTTGTAAAGATTTTATTTGAAATGATCTCAGAGGTTGGAATCTAAATATTTCAAAGTTTTGTCCAGCAGACTTGTCTGGACTTCGGCAGGGTAATAATCGAAATTATCAAAGAATATGTAATATTCAAAGGTTAAATTAAATCTATGCTGTGCTCATCCAATCAGATTCAGATTCTGACATTAGTAAGTGGGATATTATGCTTGTTTGTTTGCGAGTTTGATTTATTAATAATTCATATTAAGTGTTAATTTGCTTTTTGTTTATTAGAAGTAAGAATAAAAATGTGAGTTGAAAATGTTTTTGAAACATCGATGTGTATGTAAAATAAGAATCACCAAATACATAATTGTAATGGCAAAATATTCAAATTCATTTATGTAAAAATAACGGTTCATGAGAAGTAAACAGGCTGGATAGAGTTAGGGTCTAATCACTTGTTAATGACTATTTGCCAAGGGGTAACTAGTTGAATACCGACCTTTTTTGTTCAGGTCGGTCTTATTAGCCCATATATATAGCGCTTCTGCTGTAGGTCTTTTTTTATGCATGCCAAACTCTTTCCGAAGTATTCTGGTCCTTTCAATGACGAAGAATAAGGTATATACATGTACTGAAGAGTCTACATACATTTGAAGTAGATAAGTGATGATATTAGATTGTTCACCATCTACTAAATATAAAACACCAGATAAATGTAATATGCACATTTACAATAATTAGTGAACTGTGTTTCTCTGTTTTCGAAAACCAAGGCAATCAGGAGCTAAATACTAATTTTTAATATTAAAATGTTATCTTTTAATCTTTCAGTGCCTTAGTAACACAAATTGAAAATGTAATTATTCTCTTTTACTTTTCCAAATATAATTAATTCTGATGCTATCACTATTCCTTGTTAGTAGTTTGTTTGTCAATGTTGGACAATAAAATCAAACAGTACAAAACCATTACATTGATAGTTCAATTACAAAAGTAACTCATTTGCTAATACAGACTCATTTATTTATTTTTAAGCCGTATTACTTCTTTCAGAGCAGATGAGATGAATATATTATGTTGCCCTAACTGAAGAGGGAGTGGATTTTGACTGTATGACCTACTGAGTTGAAAGATAAATCCATTAACTACTGAACCAAAGCTTAGTTTACAACACCTTACCAAAACCTCTTCAATTAGAACTAAACATTAATTTAGCATTTAAAATAGTTTTCTTTTTTTGAATAAGTTCTCATGTTACTACTTGTTGATCTTTGAAGATGTTCGAGCGTGGTAACTTAAATTCTGCTGCCGGGAATACGACAAAATAACGAATCCAGAGTACCTTATTTATTTTTAAAAGAAAACTATGATGTGAATTAAATGTGCCACACTCTACAACTGATTCTATCCCACAACGTTGATCATTTTTGTTGGAATATGGAGACTTCAAGTAAGTCAACGTAAAGTTAGATATTACTTTCAGTCATATTTTTCACTTTCGCGAATTATTGAGACACGACAAGTGTTTGTCGACCAGGCAGGTAATAACATCGACTTGATAAAGAGTAATTAGATTTAACCTACAGAATAGGGTGACGTAACTGATAGTTTGTATAAAAAGAAAATATGTAAAGAAACGGCTTAGTTGCTAAAGTACACGACTTTTAACCAGTAAGTTATGGGCTTGAACCCTGACCAATTTAAGTTAGACTGGACAAGTTGGGTAGTATTATTAGACTTCATACACCATGACATTAAACAGTGTACATAAATCTGCACTTTTTTGATGAATTACATCACTACTCTTCTATTGAAAGAGAGTATATAATTTATCACGGAGAATTTCCTAACAAAGACGTACTCAATCTGCTTATTTATGTTCATGAGCATCCAAAATATAGCATACTACTAGGAGCCTTCTTAATAGTGAAAGCATTTTCTTAGTTGTTCATTTTTTCACATTTCGAAGAAAAAGTTTCAATACAACACCATAAAATCGTCTTATTAATTTTCATGATATTTTGAACTTATGAAGAGACATGATGATAATAGTATATTATTACTGTAAACAATCCTGAAAACTTTCATTACCTTTGTTTGGAAACTCTTGACTTCACTTTGTAAGCGTTTAATGATTTCATTGGATTTATTTATTTCCTCTGTGTTCGAAGCTAAATGTTTCTCCAAATTTTGTATGTTACGACAATGTTGTTCTGATTGTTCAAGTAAATGCAACTAAACAAAAGAGAATATTATAAGCAACTGTATAATCTACATAAATTATCCGAACATTTTTCATTTAAAACCTTTTTATTAAAAATGCAATATATATATATACATTATGAAACAAACAGAATAATTAGGTAGGGAATTTGCTTAAGATACGCAAAACTATACAAAGATGAATGACGAACTTCCAAATTCTGTTAATTTAATGACGGCTGTATCCTCTATCCCGTAGATACATCATTTTAGATATAGTATTGATATTCAAGGCTTCAACAAGTTCTGTTAAATTTAAGCATATTCGTAAATGAATAAATATAGGTTAGTCATGAAAACCAAAGATCAAAGGGGTGAAATGAATCATATATTTAATAATGCTTATCTAGGGAGAAGTGAAAACAAACATCTATAAAGTGAACGAGCACTTGTGAAACAAACTTACAAAAAGTAGTAGTAGTGTGGTGTGAGCTACTTATATTGATATGAGTAGTATATAACGTGAGTTAAAGGAACGTGATGTCTGACAGCAGAAAATGGGGAAGATCAAGAAAGGAAGAGCGAGAACACAATGGAATTTGTGAGAAAACGCATGAACAATGGAATGGGAGACAACGGATTGGTGTTTGCAACAGAAACAGTCCAGTTTGGTTTGATGCATGAATATTTTGCAAATTGACAATTTACTATATGGTATTCAAATTTTATTGAGATAGTCTGTAATTGTTGTGTTAAATACATTCGATTGTCCCCACCCGTGTTCTTGTTTACTACAGTAGGATTTTCATGAAAAAAGTTTTTAGGAGGCTTACAGTGTCCAATTCGTTAAACTTATAACTGATTTATTACAGAATATCTACAGATTTTATGGAATAAATTATGTAGCTGGGCTGAAGAAACAGACTTCCCTTATCCCTATGTCAAATTATTAGATGTTAGTAGCGAGCATATCAATCGCTTGTTTATACGTGTCAACGTAATAACTAAGTTCAGTTGATTTAGGAATACAATTACAAAGAAATTTATTATGCTCCATATAATCATTTTAGTCTATAATTGCTGAAACTAACATAGTATTAACTATAGGTAGCCAGCCAGTTTACCTTTAGTCGAGACATTCACTTTCCCTTAAACCATATAGTTCCATGTTTAAAAACCTATTCTGTTAGTTATTAATCCACTTATTTTACTTGAATTGGTGCAAATGTTATGAAGACAATGCATGGAGGTCCTGTAAAAAAAGAATTGTCTGAGTTATAAGAATGATATAAGCAAAAAAATAAATTGTAATAAACCAATGTGTAGAAAACTGAATCTCCGATGATTCATGACTTGGCGTAAGTCGTTTCTTTTACCATTTCATATATGATAAATATGCTTTTATTATCACAAAACTTCTACTGGATTTACTCGAAGTTAAAAATTCAAGTCTTGACAAAGATATCTAAAAACGGTCTGAGTTACTTGACCCAGTGAACCTGATTTTGTAGGCCAGGAATAAGCAAATATAAATGAGACCGAGACTACGAACCTTTGATAGAATAGTGACTACGAGAATTCAAACTAATTTACTCTCTTGCCACCATACGTTGTAAAAAAGTACATTTATCAACTACAGAATAAATTCATAAAACGATAAGACAACTCGTTTTTAAAAAACCTTGGAAAAATGTAGCACGTTTTTGTTTGTACTTCACCCCAGTGATTTAATTGCTGTATTACTGCGTTCTAATGAAAAGGTAGCATAATTTAGAAAGTAAATGAATACGATTATATTGAACTAGATACAAATACTATGACTCAGAATTTTAAAAAAATTATGTAATGTGTAAATTTGTTATGACACATTACCTTTTGTTCGTGTTCTTTAGTTAACGAATCCTCTAAGTCCAGTATTTGTTTACCTTTGGTAATCATATTTTCTTCTAATATAGATATTTTACTTTGTAACTGATTAGCCATTTCCGTTTGTAGATCATATGCTCGGTTGGTTGTATCCAATTGAGAACGTACAACTAACAATAAAATTTAACATGTATAAACTAATGATAAGAATAAGTGGGGCAGAATTCCAATTAATACGAAGATGAATATAGAATTTAAACGTCGTTTACTTTTGCCAGGTAATGAAGACCAAACTATTTACAAAAAGACTAAAAAGGAAAACTTCGCCTGGAGATGCTGTTTTCCATTGTGAAAAATTCCTCGTACAACACTTGATCATTCTGGTGGAGACCTAAATGCCAAGATTAGAATGGACAACACCGAATATAAAGGCGTCATAGGGATGGACTATTTAAAAGGGATGATAATGTAGTGAGACTGGCCGGTCTGTGTGCTTTCAACAACATCATCATAAACGGCAGCATTTCTCCAATAAATGCATACACTGTGTCATGGGATTTACCGGACCACGCTACAGAAAACTAAATTGATCACATCCAACCAAGACGTAAGAATAAGAAGAGATGATGTAGCTTCGAATCGTCTTTGTGATGACCAAGCTAAAAAGGCAGTGAATAGTTGAACAAGCAACATTACATAAGTTTGATATAGCCTTAGCTGCTAAAAAGCTCTGTCAGTTCAGGATAACCCTCAGCAAAAACTTCTAAGTCTTACAATATCTAGAAAAAAGAAATCACTATAGATAGCTACTTGAAAAAAGTAAAGAAGTAACACGTTGAACATCCCAAGAGGTGCTTAGAGCTAGCAAGCACCAATATAAGATGTATACTACACAGTCTGATTTCATTTGTGATTTAAAATTTTTGACTAGCAAATAAGATTTTCTAACTATTTACAATGAGGCACAAAAAATGCGCCACATAAATGAAGGGTCGTACAACCTGTAAATAAATGAACAGAAGTGATAGTTTTTAAGGAAACAGATTTGTAGGAAAACAACAAAGAAGTACTTATTTCTGTTAATAAGAGATTGTTTTAGTTTTATGAATGTGATAAAGAACCACATTAAGATCGCCACAAGTTTATATATATATATAAAGCTTTGACAAAATTGGTTAAAAACGGGTGAAACCTACTTTTGATATCTTCAGTTAAAGAAATATTTTCAGTTTCTGCAAACTTTAGTTTCTCCTGGAGTGTTTCTACACGTGTTTGAAGGACAGACTGTTGATCCCGTAGATTCTGCTCAACGAAAAACAAAAGACTTTTATTTCCTTATTTAAGTGAATGCCAGTAATGCCATGGATATGGATAAAACAATGTTAAAATCAAGGACGAGAATCGATCTGCTTCATAACACTGAGACACATATTGGGTAGTCTAAAAGAAACTAAAAGGACTGAGAACTAGTGTTACGTTAGCGTAAACCGTGGTAGTTTAACAAGAAAACGGTGGATGGGAAGACCCAAGTAAAAACACCAAAACGATAGATGGGGACCAAGTTGACCCCCAAAACTAGTCAAAATAAGTAACTGAATATCATATTAATACCATATAGTTAAACGTCTATGACCAACAGATATAGCCAATAAGAGTACTTCTTTTTGAAATGTGATTAAACGTCACAGACGAATGGGGAAAGAAACCAGCATAATAGGTTATACTACAATGTCTACTGTAAGGGGAAAGTTAAGATGAGATATATCTTATAGTAGAAACGAGATTTTTAGAAATACATTGGTATGTTCTCATCAACTCGACTACATTTGTAACAGCAAAACAAGAAACCCGAGAAATCACTAGACATGACACGGTTTATGAATAAACAGATTGCTAAATGAATATTTGGAAGTTCGAATACACAAAGATAATATTCGAAGGACTTAAATATGATGCACCATCAGGGCAAGGGAATCCGATGGAAAAAATAAACCTTTTAAAAAATTTAGCATACTAGTTGAATCACATGTATTCGTATTATAGCATTCACATTTCTGTCAGTAACCAAGATATAGTACAAACAAACTAGTTAAAACAGAATTTGGTGATACTAGTAAATGGATATAATTAAGTCAATGGAAAAAGTAACTACCCAAATGCCCTGGCATGGTCGATAGTGTGGAGAGTCAACTCTCTCACATGGCTACATGCATAAAACCACTGCCAAGGAAGTCCTTTTCACTTCCTTCTCGCAGCAGGAGTGTTGTTTACGAAACTGAAAGTAAAGCAAATGTCTGGCACTTTAACCGGTTGGTGGAAACGGAGCACCCACCTAGAAGAGTTGGAAAACCCTGATTCCAAATCAATAGTGCACATGGGCTCTAGGATCCTGAGGGAACAAATAGAGCATGGAACTATTGTTGGTCACTGGCTACCATAGGAATGCATTTACTAACATTTCTTCACTGCCTTGTGGTTTAGGCCTTTAGGTCAAAGGCTCGGGGTGTAGCCCCCTAAGAAAACCACCTGCTTCGGTTTCGGTGCCCGGGCAGTATTTCAGCCTTCACACAAATCGAATAATTTATGTAGTGCATATCTATTTGGTGCCTTCTTGTACCAATATTTATGTGCGTTTGAATTAAATTAAAAACCTCTAAAGGTAAGTGACAGACTTTCGATATCTGACCATGTATTTTGATAAGTCTCATAAAAATTTAACAGTGCATTTTCATCTGTACGCCAGTGAAACATGAGTTCATACACTTGCTAATATTTCGGTGTTAAACAATGTTTCCAAATACTTTTTTTCACCCACCGACCAATCCAGTCAAGTGCCCTATTAGGAGGTATGCTTATTTGAAACCTGTGGAAGCATTAATATTTGATCGATGGATCGAAAATTTCTGACAGGATCTAAGTCCTCTCCCATAGATGACTGAAAACTTGACACGTAACAGGCAAAACAAATTGGTTACGAAAATGAACTAGCTTCCCTGTGACCGTAAGTATAGAAACATGAAGTCGAATCTACGATAGTCAGTGTCAAGTTCTGTTTTAAAAGTGGCTATGTTAACTTTTCTTGGGAAAACAAAATGAGTTTCAGCCAGCAGTCTCTTATAAATATATGAAAAAACTTAATAAGTCACCATAGATTAAGTAGTTCAACTAATAAAAAAGGAAGTAATTTATAACGGTCTCTTACTAAATACTCACTTTGTTATTGTTCAATGCTAAATCCAAACGACTTTTAAAGTCCTTTTGAAGCTCCTCTTGTATTTGATTGGCTAAATCTTTTTCTTTGGAAAGAGAATCTTCTAACTTCGTTTTTACCTAAGAATTTATAACTATTGAGAAAAGGCTGAACCTCATCATGTTTTGATTGCAATTCCCTGATAGCAAACTCATTCTCGGAGCGAAGACTAAGTTCTTTAGCTGAACATGCTACTTTGAACGCTTGGAACTCGTCTTTTATTAACTTCGTACCCTAAAGGTGTAAAAAGGATTAAAAAAACACACCTCCTCTGCAGATTTCAGAGACGATGTCAACTCGGATACAGAATGGCTGAGTTGCCTGATAATGGCATCGCTTTCAGCCTAAAAATAAAGTAAACCTACACAAGTACTTTATGTTTTTTTAAACGGCTTGCTAGAAATAGTTTAAGCTTTTCGTCATCAGCTGCATACAAATTGAGACTCAAATGGTGAAGATACTTGAAATTGGTGGCCTCAACTATTTGCAATAAACCGCAATCTCTTTCCTCAGTGTTTCTGGAAAACCGAAGTCCATATCTAAAATAAGTTGACAGGTATAACCAGCTTACTTCGGAGTTTCGATAGCCTCCTCTTGTGAACAAATGCACAAGAGATCTGCTACTTTCTGTTCAAATTCGTTGAAATTAATGAGCAAACCTTGCTGCTGTTTAATTCTATAAAAGTGATGAGATCGAAAGTAGAATGAGTACATACTCAGTAAACTCATCAACGGTAATTCTAATGAAATAAAGAAAACAAAAATCATCGTCATCTGTCAATCTTATTTCTAAATCCTGACTCGACATAAATCTAATCAAGTGAACAATTACCTTTTTTAGGTCTGAAGAACAACCTAGCTCGATATCTATGTTTAAGATCCTATTAACGATTGATAAGGATGAACTGGGACATTACCGGTCTTTCCCGTCAAAAGACACCAAATGACGACCTGAATAAAACATCAGAATAATGAAAGCCTCTTCTTATGAATGTTTGTGTACAAAATGGTAGGAGGTTGGTGTTAAGAATATCAACAAAAGTACTTCTCCGAAGGAATCTGGAAGCAAGTATATATAACATTTTGACCAATGACAATACGTACACTTGAAAAGTACTTGCATTTACAAGTGAAAGTTAGTAGAATGTCAAACAATTTAAAGACAAGTAAAGAGAAAACCTAAGGATAAAACTTCCTAATGAACCACATAAACAATCAAACGACTAGCGCAGAAATATATCCGCAGCTTCGACCTCGAAATTTAATAGTTTAAAACAAACCATTAAGACAGTAGACCGGTTTAAACAATGACAAAATTTTTACCAGCACCACTTGATTCATCTACTCCATTATAAAATATCTATGACGAGATATAAAAAATTAATATACTTCTTTCTTTTAGTATCTTAGTGGGTTATGTCTAATAGTAACGTAAAATATGTTTAATCAGATCAGACAAGTATAATAATTTCAGAGGATAATGCAGTTTTACCCAACTGAACATGTTCTGATGAAAAATGAATACCTTTTGTTCAGAGGGATAGATGGCTTGAACCAGCAGATGTCAGGTAACAAAAGAGTTCATTAGGCAGTCATAAAACGAAAGCTCTAAAATTGACATAAGAAAGAGTAAAAATAGGAAACAAGTCCAAGTTACGTAAATGAACGAATTAAGCCAGACTTAACAAATACGGAAATACGTAAATGAAAGAATACATAAAAACGGTATTTGAGCCAGGATGATAAGTAACAAAGTTGAATAGAGAGTCCCCACCAGGTTGTATGATCATTACGGAGACGTTTTGAAATCTTATATGTATTGCTGAACTAACCATCTGCCGTAATAGACGTGCCGTATTGTAAGAACCTCACAGGAACGCAGTATTCACCAACGGGACGTTTCACGAAGCCGTGAGTGGACCTAGTCTTTATTTAAATGGGGTTCTGTAGGCGCGTGCATGCTGATTTATACTTTCTAACGAATTACCTCCTACCCTTAGACTTATTTCAGTTTGTTGTCAATGCTAAGTGCAGCCAATTCTTTTTCAACCAATCTTTTGGAATGATAAATTTGTTGAACGGCAAAGCGCATGACTGGAATCCAAGAAGATACTCTAAAATGAAAACAATCTTGTAAGCGACCGCGGCATCGGTAGCTAGTCGCAATATGGCCACCATGAGCCCAGACTTAAGTTGAAGAGGGAAGACATGACAGTTCAGAAAGCTTGCGATCTGTGCAAATCTGTGGAAAACAGTCTCCATTATCCGAGCTGGGATCAATGAGTTGCCATCGCTTTCAGTCCGCTACAACGTAGGTCCAGGCACATATATGCATCAGTCTAAGTTGCCACACCTCAATAGTACAAGCTGGACACCGAATTCATAGAAACAGTTACTTCGACGGTAGTAAAATAATCAGAGTATAGGTGAACACAACGAGAAGACATTGTTTTCCACATCGTTGCGAGACGTTAGTCTTAGTCGTAAATGTCCGTTGTTCGATCTGTTTCGATGTATGAACGTTGTGGATAGAAATTTTAAAAGACGTACACTATTGCAGGATAGGTACATGAACTCTTCCGCCCGAGGACAACCTTCGATAGGCAATAATCTGGCAATGTGAGATCATTCAATTTAGATTACTCAGGTGGCATATTTCTGTTTGAGTAAGACGTCAGTGAAATGAACTCGTCTGAATGTCTTGAGGACTACATTAGTGTTAGTTGGGTCTCCAACAATTCGAAATGCTTTAGAACTACAGTGGGTCAGTTTTTAGTCTGAACATATGGAGGTAAGTAGTTCAGCACACTGACGATACTCACCTTGGCAGCTCCATTAGCATTGGGCGATAGATAGACGACAGAATTTTGACACGAATGAAAACCTTGTTTGGATTTTGTAAACTTTCGTTACGTATGTTGAACAAACGGTGTCTGTCTGTCTATAAACGAGCAAAGACGTTCCAAGGTACTTCGCTCTGTTTTCGCTTATGGCTGTGCAACACTTTACTGGAGGTGGGAAACACAGGTAGGTTCCTCAGTGTTATGGCATACGTTCATAGAACTTTATACGCTTTCGGTATCAGTTACTCACCAAGTTTGTAGTTTAGTATTTTTTGAATTCCTAACTGAATTCAATGGGTTACATATAGTCAGTAGTACATCAATCAATTACACATGATTGGTCAATATATCCACTAATAACTTCAGCTGTGTGACATACAATGCAGTTGGGAAATTGGAAAATACAGAAACATGCACAAATACTTATTATTAGTTTCCTGTTTTTATGAAAATAATAATAGCGTGCAGAAAGAAAAACTTTACAATGACCGTTATGGTTGGTGTCAGTGATGTATTACAAATAGTAAAACTAGAAAATCACACAGTAGTGCGTTCACAGTTAGTTTTAACAAATGTATTAAGGTTCATTTGATAGCCCAGTGTTTTAAAATAAGTCGAAGGCAAATATTCGACTGAAAGAATTGTAATACAAAAAGTGTCAATAATAGTTTAGTAGTAGTCTCCGAACCAATCACACTGTCGAAAAAGACAATCGAAATGCAAGAGGAACGATGGGAGTGTATTTATATACAAGAAGATGGGGTGATTATATCCATTTGAAGAATTGAATTTCGTAAGTTATTAAGAGGAATAGTGTTACAGTGATTTGTATTGGAATCAATTTTTAGCCTTCTCCCTCAGTGTACGCTCTCGTAGGTTAACCAAAAGGTCACGAATTTGGGCACGCTTCTGGCTGACAGTAGCTTCTGGAAACCAACCAGCCATTTCGTGTTGGAAATAATCCTTCGTATAACTTTGAACAGGTTTCTAAAAATATATTAACCAATGGTAAAAAGGCGAATAAGTGATAGAGTTAACTTTTCGGTCAGTTATTGAAAGATTATTTCATGAAAACACTGTCGACAAAACTAAACTGCAGGGTTGCGTATGAAACAATTTTAAAAGCAATTCAATAAGTATATTAGGGGTTACAAGTCATCAGTTACTAAGGTAATGCATATAAAGAAATGGACAAATGATCACTAATATGGATAGAATTTTCTGATATTATTTTAGAAATCTATATAAGCGAATATTATACAGTAGATGAGAGTTTACACCCAAGTATACACAGTAACTATAGTACAAAGATTGGTTTCCGTAGGTTTACATCAGAATGAGCACACTAGGTACATAATAAACATATAATTCTAACCACAGGTACGATTCATTTGTATTAGGCCCAGCCCATCAAGCGAACGGGCCATACACACTTTGATAGCCTGAAATAAATGACCGATATTCAGATTTTCAAGTTACATGTTAACAATAACACATCAAGTTTACACCCATAATTAACTACGGTATGTCAAAACAATTAAATTCACCTTGAAAAACATTTCCACGTAATGAAGTAGGTAGATTCCACAATCAACCAGGTTACTCTGAACAGGCACTCGAGGACTAAAACCTCGAATTGTATCCTTATCAAAGCGGAGAACACCATCTTGGGCTGATCTGCGAGTATTCCATTCAGCTTGTAAATAACTGAAATAAACAAAAAATAAAATATTTGCATTTATATGTGTTTATTAGTAGTCGACAATATAGTGGGATTAAAAACCGAAGTTACATTCTTTTACTCATTGTGGTTTTTGTTCAAGATACGATATTCTTGTATTAAGTTAACATGTACTATGCTTAACATGACATGCAGCATACGATTTGTTATAACTCTATGTATTTCTCATATATATGACTTTATCCTAATTAATAATCAAAATGGGTGTACAGTCAATATACAAATGAATTTATTGTTAACCAGGGTCGCTTTTATGTTTTGGGGTTAATAAATCACTTGTACCGGTCTTGGTGTTCTTTACGTCATGGGAATGGCAGTGGTTAACCGTTTTACAGGTATAAGTAATAAGCGATTCTGACATAACAATTAGCGACGACTAGATAGAACAACTGACGACAGGAATTTCGGAAAAAAAGAAAACAAAACAATCGCCGACTGGGTTAATTTACAAGCTTCAGTTTCCAACATAACTGTCTGTTTCCAGTTATAACCCAGTTTTCAGTTCAACTTACCCCAAATCCTGTTTCCTCAGTTATAAATATAATTCTGCTCTTATTTATCAAGTCTCTGTTACAATAAACGACGCGGTTACTAATGTGAGAACATGTCAGTTTCAGTAGCAAAAGTAAAAAGGATGCTTCAGTTTATTGAAGATTTATTTGTTAATCAGATCCCACTTAATGCTCATTGGTGCATCGAACGAACATATGCTTAAACAATCAAATTCGGAATCGCACTCAAAAGTTCTAGATACACTTAACGAGTTAACTGATACAGTAAGGAACAGTTTTGTGAATGAGGAAGAGGTCAAAGAATTCCTTAATAATAAGGTTCATTTGATAGCCCAGTGTTTTAAAATATGTCGAAGGCAAATATTCGACTGAAAGAATTGTAATACAATAAGTGTCAATAATAGTTTAGTAGTAGTCTCCGAACCAATCACACTGTCGAAAAAGACAATCGAAATGCAAGAGGAACGATGGGAGTGTATTTATATACAAGAAGATGGGGTGATTATATCCATTTGAAGAATTGAATTTCGTAAGTTATTAAGAGGAATAGTGTTACAGTGATTTGTATTGGAATCAATTTTTAGCCTTCTTCCTCAGTGTACGCTCTCGTAGGTTAACCAAAAGGTCACGGATTTGGGCACGCTTCTGGCTGACAGTAGTTTTCGCACAAGGAGGGGTGGGGTTGGAAAAAGTCGACCCTAAAAATGCACAC